TATCAATTTGATCTAAATATTTTAATATATTGGTGCAAATTCTGTTACTTCCACGGTTCCCATCTCTTTCTCCCCAAACAAAGCAGTAGCCTTTCCTCGATGCTGTTTCATATACGTAAAATTGTAATAAGCATATTTTCGTGAAAACCCTATAGTCATGACGTCTCCATGTGGTGTTGAGAGTACTTTTTGGAGATCAAAGCTACACACTAATATTTTCTTGTTCTCAATTTCTTATTTGGCGTGTTCTTATTCGTCTGGAAATAGTTTTTTTGATGCATCTTTCTCTGTAATGTGATTTTCATAATTTTTAATTTCTACTTCACTTCTATACTCACCAGGTAAGTTTTTAAACCTTTCACACTTTAAACATTTATCTTTTTTGGAACACGGATACCCATATTATAATTTATTTCTAATAATGCCAATAATTTGCTCCTTTTCAGTGCAGGAAGAGAATCTTTTTCCATTTGTCGTAGACACAACCTGTAAACATTATTGAAACTCCCTATATCTAACGGCAAATATTCCTTAGTGGATGATCCTATATAATAGTTAGATGGTATCGCTGGTAGAGAATCAATAAAGACTCGCTAATTGCTCTTCAGTTGATTTATTAGGACCTAAATGATGCCCTCTTTGGTCATATTCAGGAAATTTATTTAGATTTTTATTGTCAGCCATGGTTCTTAACAACCGAATAGTTAGTTATATCAAGTGTATTAGCCAAAAATTGTCTGCAAACACGTTTTCTATCATTATTTTTCTGGAAGTAATATTCGTTAGTTGATTTTTTTTAATGCCTTTGGATTTTCTTCGTCTCTCAACAGGTCAAATAGTCATACATTCTGATAAGAACAATTTTTGTTTATTACTATCTGCCAAATTCCAGTAAAACTTGAAGATTTCTTTTCGATCATCTTCTGTGAAGTTATTGCATTGATTAGAACATGATGTTTCTTTGCAAGGATTGTCTCTTAATGCATTTTTTTCAACTAATTTTCCACTGAAGGATACATGTTCTTGACCTAAGTCTTTTGATAATTTTCTTTTGGCTTTTTTACCTATTCGAGGAGCTTCTTCTTTCCCATCATTTTTTTCTTAATGTTTGTCGTTTATGTACAATATTTTACTGTGTTCTTTTACAACTTTCACAACTTTTGCTGCATTTGTAATGTCAATATTATCTTTACGGTTTCTTCGTTTTCGTTCTTTTTGAAATTCATAATCAATGTCTTCATCGGTCACATCACTTGATTCATCAGAAGAATAATCGGATGCAGAATCCGAGGAAGAATGGCTAACAGAAACAGATTGTAGTGGTAAGGTTTCCAATATAACAGAAGTAGACTGAAGATTGGATCCCACTCTGACGTTGATGATCATGATCAGATGATACTGACAGAATAGGTTCCAAATTGTTCTCAACAGGATACAATGAAACTGGTTCTATTGCCGTCTCTATTGGAAAATGTACTGTGCTCAAAATTTAATAATGGTTCGGGCAATACCTCTTCTAAACTAGCCACAGATTCTAAATTTGTGAAATCTTCTGGAATGTCTGACTGTAAAAATAACAAGTCATTTTCTAATGCCACTTCTAGTCGATATTATCTGCCTTCTAACTCGATTCATTATTATTATTTAGCGCTAGTGTTAGCAGCTTTTTACCATGAGAATTCATAATTATGCAAGTAAAAAATGGCATAAACGCCAAATTCTAAACAGACTTTAATTGCTATTGTTAATATTTTAATTTACATAGGCTTATCTGCATTCCTAGGTCGGTCTCGTCTCGAGTTGTGGTTTTGGTTTCGGCCCTACCAACGGCGTCTGGAGTAGGATTAGCCCTCCTCCACGAGCCATCCCGGTAGACGTGAGGATCTAGATATCCCGAACCCAGAGATGGTTGGGGCGGAATGTCAGTGCAGTGAACGAGGAGACGAATAAACGAGTAGACGACGAAGCGAGGCCTCGGTTCTAAGACGGCCTCGTAGTAAAAGTTTAAGAGTATGATTTTCTAATTCTGGGGCAAATCCAACCGAGGTTGTAACAACTGCAATAAGGTCTATCACCACTGTATTTTCCCCAGAAATAAGCAAATAAATCTTCATCTAGCGAATTTTGTGGTTCACACCATGCTCGAAAATCAACAACCTTTCTTAATTCTCGTCCTCGGCGAGAAAAACGACGAAAGAATCTCCGCGCAAAAAAGAGACCCACGCCGATAAAATACGTCAGACTATTAAACGAAATTCGATATATCGGGCGATTTATTTAGTCGGTACTTATATCGCCATAAATGTATACAAACAAAATTAATTTAATATTATTTTTTTTTCTTTAACAAGAAAACCGTAACAACATAAACTAATATTACACCGACAATCGAATATTTACGTATAAATATAAGTTGGGAAAGGTTAGTTTATGCTATTATTAGAGTATACATATAGGGGAGTTGTGCTTAAGATGACATAGTCAGATAAGATGACACACCAATCATATTGGTTTAAATATACGCGCTAATGGTGATCCTGTGACGTTTCGGAGAGTAACTGTAGATGTCGCTGGTATTGAAGTTCAGTATGGCGGAAACCGAGCGCAAGTTTGAATGTAGTCCATGTTTTCGTGATTTTGATTTGAAAAAAGTTTTGTTTGCTCTTTTGTTTGGTGGTGAAAGTATGCGTAAGGTAAGGATTTTCTGGTTAAACTAATTTGGAATGTATAATAGGATTATTATGTAATACAAAAATCGATAAATGCGTATTCTAACGTCAAAGTTTTTGTCATGACAATTAAAATGAAACTTGCATATCCATTGGGTAAGATGACATACAAGACGTGGGTGTAAGATGACATACTATGTCATCTTACCTTTATGAAATGAAAAATGTACAGATACTAAAGTTTTTTTTTGTTTTATTATAGGATGCCTGGTAATTACAAACGAACATCGACGCGAAAAAGTTGGTCACAAGAAGACATGGATAAGGCTATTGAAGCTGTAGAAGATCATAGAATGGGTTGGCTTTTAGCATCTAAACATTTCAACGTACCACAAGCAACCCTTCGTCGTTATTACTATAGTACTCCAGTAAATCTTGGTCGGTTTAAACCAACGTTCAACAAAGATATGGAAAAAGCACTCGTGGATCATATTCTCGAGTTCGAAAATCGACTTTTTGGATTTAACACGACCGAAATAAGAAAACTAGCATTTGAATTTGCGGAAAGATTGGGGCTCACAGATTTGATAAGAATGAGAAAATAGCGGGCTGGGATTGGCTGAAAGGATTTAGACAACGCAACCCTAATATTTCACTCAGATCTCCAGAGGCAACGTCTGCTGCAAGAGCTAGGCCATTCAATACGCCTCAAGTAACAAAGTTTTTTTCTCTTTTGGAAAAAGAAGTGACTGATAACAAGATCCAGCCACATAGTATTTACAATGTGGACGAGTCTGGACAGATGACACACTATGTCATTTTACCCAACAGTTATGTCGTCTTACACATGTCAACCAAAGTGCGCTTAATGTTAATTTTTTAATTTTATATAACGTTGATTGTTCTAAAACTAAAATAATTTTGTTAACTATGATTCATTTAAGAATATACGCAAGATCCTGTTCTCACATGACTTTATTTATTTCAAATATTTGTCTCAAGAGAAAAAGTCAACTTAAGCACAATTCCCCTACAGGGTATCCACCGAAAGGTGTTTTAAATGGATTTTATGTTGAGTTATTTGAAAAATTAATAGCAGCTATTTTTTTATCGTAAAGGTTGGCAAGACTAATGTTTCTTGGAAAACAATGATGACGTCATCACCATTTCTGGTCCAGGTGTTTGTTTAATTTAAACAAATGCATGATTTATTACCCTTTTCTTGGAATTTTGTCTGGTTTTTAAACAAGTGTCAACCCGCAGCTCGAGGACCATAGCGTGGTAACTTGTACAGTGTACACACATATATGTATGCATTTCAGCGCTATTAAATATATTTATTTTTTTAGATCACCCTGTATTTATTCAAAATAAAATAATTTGTGCATATAAAATATAGAAATTTTTTCATATTATTCATCTACAATATACGGACGGCAAAAACTATGAACCTCTAATCATAAGGTTGTATAGAGGGGACAAAATAAAGTACTCTGGAGGTCTGACTTATCCCAATTTATAAACTGTTGAGGTTGCAATCTCACACACTCAAGTTACGATGGAAAATTTTAAAGGCCTGACATATCCCAATTTATAAACTGCTGAGGTTGCAATCTCACACGCTCAAATTACTAGGGAAAATAATAGTGGTAATTAGTGATTAAAATAATAATGGTAATTCCCTAAAAAATGCTTACAACAATTTTTTCATATAAAAAGGGATGCAGCCAGTGCATGTGCATCAGTTGGTACAGAAAATGGAGTGGTAAGTAAATAAGATATAGCCATGAATTATCATAAGTTTTTAGTATCAAAATTGAAGAGGGATTTCTGATGTAAGTCATTTAAAATTTTATATAGATGTACCTTTCTAAAAATGAAAATTATGTTTCAGCTTAAATGATCCAACAATGTACCAGGAGTAAGTTAATTTTCATATAAAATTGTTATTGATCTACATTTTATTTTAAACTCCATAAATCAATTATTATTTTTTAGCTCCGAGAGCATGGAGTCGCCCCCAATATCGTAAGTAATCTAATTTTTTTATTTTAAACTATTAAATATTTTTATATTTTTTTAGGGTAAGCGACATCAGCGACGAGTCCCTCGGTTGGGGGACGCCTACGTCGACACCAATATCGTAAGTAATCTAAATTTTTATTTTAAACTATTTTTTTAGCGTAAGTGACAATACCTAAATATTTTTTATTTTTATGGAATAAGCGACATCAGCGACGAGTCCTTCGGCTGCGGGGGCCAGGATTATCCGCCAATATCATAAGTAATCTAGATTTTTATTTTAAACTATTAAATATTTTTTTAGAATAAGCGACATCAGCGACGAGTCTTTCGGATGCGGGGCCTAGGATTATCCGCCAATATCGTAAGTATTCTAAATTTTTATTTTAAACTATTATTTTTTAGCATAGCGATATTACCTAAATATTTTTTATTTTTTTAGAATAAGCGACATCACCGCAGATGATGCCTTCGGCTGCGGGGGCCAGGATTTTCAACCAATATCGTAAGTAATCTAGATTTTTATTTTAAACTATTAAATATTTTTTTAGCATAGCGACATTACCTAAATATTTGTTATTTTTTTAGAATAAGCGACATCAGCGACGAGTCTATCGGCTGCGGGGACCAGGATTATCCGCCAATGTCGTAAGTAATCTAGATTTTTATTTTAAACTTAAATATATTTTTAGCATAGCGACATTTCCTAAATATTTTTTATTTTTTTAGAATAAGCGACATCACCGCAGGTGATGCCTTCGGTCGCAGGGGCCAGGATTATCCGCTAATATCGTAAGTAATCTAGATTTTTATTTTAAACTATTAAATATTTTTTTAGCATAGCGACATTACCTAAATATTTTTATTTTTTTAGAATAAGCGACATCACCGCAGGTGATGCCTTCGGCTGCAGGGGCCAGGATTATCCGCCAATATTGTAAGTAATCTAGATTTTTATTTTAAACTATTAAATATATTTTTAGCATAGCGACATTACCTAAATATTTTTTATTTTTTTAGAATAAGCGACATCACCGCAGGTGATGCCTTCGGCTGCGGGGGCCAGGATTTTCAACCAATATCGTAAATAATCTAGATTTTTATTTTAAACTATTAAATATTTTTTTAGCATAGCGACATTACCTAAATATTTTTTATTTTTTTAGAATAAGCGACATCACTGCAGGTGATGCCTTCGGCTGCGGGGGCCAGGATTTTCAACCAATATCGTAAGTAATCTGGATTTTTATTTTAAACTATTAAATATTTTTTTAGCTTAGCGACATTACCTAAATATTTTTTATTTTTTTAGAATAAGCGACATCACCGCAGGTGATGCCTTCGGCTGTAGGGGCCAGGATTATCCGCCAATATCGTAAGTAATCTAGATTTTTATTTTAAACTATTAAATATTTTTTTAGCATAGCGACATTACCTAAATATTTTTATTTTTTTAGAATAAGCGACATCACCGCCGGTGATGCCTTCGGCTGCGTAGGCCAGCATCGCAGGCCTCCACCGGCCGCCCGCTTCCCCATCCCATAACCTCCATAAGAAAATACATGGAATTTTGTCACAGTATGAAGGTAGCCTATCTACTACCTACTTTTGGTATCAAAACATGAAGAGAACCTTCACCTAAGTCTGTCAATACGTCAAGGGTTCATTTTCTAAAAATTGTAATGGTTGTCAATTGTTTCGTAATAAAACTACCCGTTTTACACTAAGCACACTTCGGTTTTTTTCCCAAATAAAGGCGCAAGATCTTGAATAAACCTTTATTCGAAAAAGGCGGCGATAAGTGATTATACAGGGTGATTCAGTCATAATGTCATTAATTTTAAGAGCAGATAGAGAAAAATGAGTATAATACGATGGCGTGATTAAAAAAAATTAAATGCATATTTAAGCAGAAAAAAATATTTTCAAATCATTATTTAACCCCCTTTTCAAGCTGTTACTGACCGGCTGACGTCAGCCGGTTATTCACAATTTGCGCACGGCTACGATATGAACAACGCGCCCTCGATGCAACGTTGCCATATTTATATGTTTTCGCTCATGTAAAGACAATAAACAAACGGTTTGCTCACGTCAGTCAATAATAATTTAAAATGCTATAAATTATTTTTTATAATTATGCAATCAACACATTAAATTGTTATTGTTGCCCAGCAAGAACCTCGATGAGGTCTGAGCATGCCTTGTCAAAAATCAGTTTTTATTAACTCATAATGTTAATTTTTTAATTTGCTGTAAGCCTTCGGGCTTACAGCAAATGTTCAAATATATTACCGTTAGCGTCTATGCACAAGTGTACACGTTGGATAGATGAGCGGTGGATGTGATGGAATAAACCAGGGTTGTTACGTATTTCTTCAGCGGCATCTTCGATACGATTCCGCAACTGCTCTACATCTTCTACCTCGGTGTGATACACGACAGATTTCATATAACCCCGTATATAAAAGTCCATAGGATTATGGGCCCTCATCGCTTTATCCACCGATTGGGACATTGATCGTCTAAAAATCCACGGACATCGCGAGCAAAATGGACCTGAGCTCCGTCGTGCATATACCACATATCCCGTAGCATCTGAGGGGGAAGGTTTTCTACTAAAAATTGAAAGTAATGCGGTAGATGTACAGGTAGAAAATGCGGCCGAATTAAACGATTGCCGTATACTCCTGCCCATACATTGACACCGAATATCCTCTGAAAGCTAAACCGACGAGTAATGTGCGGGTTTTCATCTGACCAAATGTGACTATTATGGCTGCAAAGAAATTAGCTCTGTTTCACTTTAAATATTTAATTTAATTTCATTTCATAACCATTTCAATTTCATTACAGAAATAATGACATAAAAAACAACAGTCACTAGATAAATTATGAAGTGAGGCCGAAATGTATGTAGTATTTAAATATTGACTGTAAGTAATAGAAGATAAAAAAACAATCGGACGGAGACAAATAAACAACTCGGTACGTGTTTCCGACCTAGGCTAACCTGTATCTAGGTCAATAACCTTCTATCTAACCCACTTTTGATTTGCACGTGTACTATAGTCTAGGAGCCAGATAGGGTGCCGTGGCCAACCAGAGTGCCACGGCTGCAAACAACTTATTCGTAGTATTTTGAGCTCTTGAATCCAAAAAACTTGGTCACAAAGCCTGAAAGTGGTCAGTTTAATTGTTGTCAACAAATTAAATGTTTAAATGGCTGTAAAGTTTATTTTTACAGCTAGTAAACGGAACCCTATCTGGCTCCTAGACTAATACCAACTGTAGTAGGATCGTATTCCATGCAAAGTAGAGCAAAAAGTTGTCGGTCTTTTATCAAAGGAAAATTGAATATAATGAATAGGGATGATTGTTTTCGAATGTACGGTTATTACAATTTATCATTGATTTACTAGATATAGCGTAAAACTCTCAAATTTTCATGAAAATTTTCCCACTCCCCTATTTATGAGGGTGCTGAACATGAACCTGAAATCGGTATTGCGCGATCGAAACTAGTTTTCGAGATTTTTTTTTTCAAAATTTATAACTTGTATGTGTAAACCACACTAGAAAATACCTAATAATAATTTATTTTATTTATTTTTATTTATTTTTATTTATTTTTATTTATTTTTATTTATTTTTATTTATTTTTATTTATCCTATCTTAACCCAACTTAACCTAACCCAGCCTCATTAGGTTAGATTACGATAGGATGAATTTAAATGTATCGCACAAAACTAACTTCAGGTTCATGTTCTACACCCTTGAAAATAGGGGAGCAGGAAATTTTGAACAAGAAATTAGCGTTTTACGCTTTAGTAAATAACAACCAAAATATTTTATTTATTTTATAGCTCAGTTTGCATATTAACGTGTATTACTAACTCATAAATACACTGATTAGTGATGCAAGCCCCCACTGCTTTAATAAATTTTGGAGTTTTTCTGCCTCGTCCTCCATCACCTATCTGCTATCAAACAAAATAAGCAGTATGCCTATGGCACTTGCTACCGCTAAATAAATGCGACTTGCCTTATGTTAACAACAAGAATAAATAAATTAAAATAGTTTACTGGACACGACACTGGATGTATTTATTCTGTATTCGGTGCCCGGTGGACGACTGTGACTAGACCAAATATATCCGCTTTGACCATAACCTTGTCCGTGGCTAAGCTTACAGTGTATTCGCACCACGAATTTCTTAAATTAAACTGGATCGCCGTTTCTTAATAGCATTTCTGTCATTTTTCAGGTGGCAGACATACTGTGCTAAAACTCAATTGGTGAACTTTTATCCAATAACAATAGTGTGATTACCGCGGGAAATTATGAAATTATTTATGGCGTAAACAGTTAAATACATATTGCGCAATATTTTTCCTAATACTTTCCTGTTTCCTGTGAATACTTCTTCTACAAAAATAATTGTGACTAGCTATTGAAATCATATAGCAAATTTTTAAATGCCTATAACATGTATATTGTACACATATCATGTAGTTATGTAGGAATTTAGATGCTAAAAACTAGGTATAATGGATTTCTGGCACTGGTATTAGATTCAAAATTACAACCAAAACGTTATTACATAATATTTTGATCTACAAAAACATTTTTCAAACAGAATAGAATTAGGAAGTAAACAAAACATTTAAAAACTTACCTATAACTATGCAGTTTTGATAATTTTCCTTTTAGTTTCTGAACTGCCAGACGACATTCCTGACAAAGATAATTTTTTTATCTCGGGGAAGACAACTTGAATCTGCCTGAAGTTTCCTTTTAGAAGATTTTTCTCTAACTTCAGGAATGTTGAATGTATCACACCGATTTCTGAAATAATTTGATGCTTGATTATAGATTTTTTTTTTTAATAATTTAATACCTATATATTTTTTACTGTATAAATAAAAAATTCCAACTACTCATTTAAAATAAACAGTTAATATTATGACATAGATAAAATCTTTATCTACGTCAGAACTACTGGAATCTATCAGAGACGAGTCTGATAATGTTTTTTCCAAAGGAAAAGATGTAGATGGACCCAACTCAATCTGATATTGCAAATGTGAAGTAGATGCGAGTGATGGATTAATCGAATGAACTGGTACAATCACATTAGTTCGTGAAGCTTCTTCAGAACTAATTGTAGCTTGCATTACTGGTACTGGTAGATTCAGCGATTGCAGTACCGGTATTGCACCGGCTTTAATTTTCTTCAATGCACCAACATATTGAAAGTCATCTGGCAAAAAATGTTCCGAACAAATTCGCTGTTGATTTACTGATTGATGTGTTTACATCCCGTCTTATAGCAATCAACCAACTATGTGTTTGACTTTTGGGAAAACTGTAACAACAATTAAATGTAGAAATATATAATCAGGTACCTATTTAAAATTAATCATAAATTATCGTGGACTTACGAATGAAAGCTAACACCTTGTTTCTTTCGCTTATCAAAATTGTGCCACCCTTTTACAAAACAGGAAGGCATTTTACAATTGTTTTTTAAATAATAAATATAATAAGTACTTAAAACACTCGACACAAATACCTACTAAATAACTACTTTAACACCCACTAACACTAAAATAATAATAATACCACAAATAAATACATATAAACGAAAACGCCATAAACTTTTAAAGTTAAACTTCAAACATTTTTATGTGCAGTATTCAGTGTTGCACATTTATATTTACTTATTTTCACAGGTACACCAATCATCATAATTATAATCCCTAAACTTTAGCACAGTATGGCTACCACGTAGTTGCAGTTATTTGTATTTCCCCCACCCTATACTATTAGCGATCCAGTTTAATTTAAGAAATTCGTGATTTGCACTAATGCACTAGATCTTCTAGCTTAGCTTCCCGCGCTCGCTGTTGGTAATTTTTTTAGCTTATACGCGGGAAAACAGCACACACGGTGGCACGAGATAATAATAAATTTTGTTCAAATTAAACTAAATAATATTATAGTTAAATTAGTTCGTTTCCCATTAGCTTATTAAATAAATGTACTGAAAACTGATGATGCATGTTAACATTAAAATTAAAATATTATTTGTTTCAGCGCGTTTCTAATAATAACATATTATTTAATATTTACCATTTATAAAGCTTAATATTAAATGATCTTAAAATGTGTAAGATTTACTTTTTGTTTAATTGAAACTTATACTAATTTAAATGTAAAATTTTAATACGTTAGGTATTATTCTACATAGATCATAAATAATTAGATAATTTAAATGAATCACGCCTGAACTTACAGGTTAGATATTGATTTTCTCGGTATATTTTGCACAAATATAATCTGCGGGTAGATTTATTTTGCCGTTGCGTATTTGACGCTCTATTGAAGCGTGGATTGAGTCTATCTCCATTTGGGTATGACCCCTTAGAAGATATATTTGGGTATTAATAATTTTACGATGCATTGCTAAATTCACCAAATTCTGTTTTGACGTGTGCAACCATCACTGAAGATAATAATTTCATGCAGGTTGTTTGATAAAATTTCGCTATCGAGGAAATGCTTGAAAAGGGAGACCTCTCTGTTCCTATTATTCATTAAGCACAAATAAATACTAAAAAACTTATAACTTGTTTAGAAAAACCGGCAAATTATTAATAAAAATTGGCGTATCTCGTAAGATAAACATAT